TTTTATGACATAATGTTTATTTGTAATAATTTTTAATTGGTATAACGCTAAATTAGTATAATGTGTATTTGACATACTGTTCATTTGTCATAATTTTCATTTGACATAATTCCCATTTGTCATAACTTTATGTGTCAACGATTTTTTGCTGTATCTTCCCATCCTTGGTTTTTTAATTAGTAGTTTGTATATGTTGGTAAAGTAGATTAGGTGGCGCTGTCTAATATTTCTGAAATTAATTCTATCTTGCTTTTAAATATGAAAAATTACTTTTTTTTCCAAGTTACAATTTTAATATTGTACAATTCAATTACATTTTTTAAAAAATAATATGACAATTCATATTAATAATGATGACATTAAAAAATTGTACAATATTAAAATTGTAATTTTCATATTTAAAAGCAAGATAGAATTAATTTCAGAAATATTAGACAGCGCCACCTAATCTACTTTACCAACATATACAAACTACTAATTAAAAAACCAAGGATGGGAAGATACAGCAAAAAATCGTTGACACATAAAGTTATGACAAATGGGAATTATGTCAAATGAAAATTATGACAAATGAACAGTATGTCAAATACACATTATACTAATTTAGCGTTATACCAATTAAAAATTATTACAAATAAACATTATGTCATAAAATAGTTATGACAAATGAACATTATATCAAGTACATTTTATACTGCATGATAATTATGACAAATAAAAATTATGAACAATGAACATTATGTCAAATTAAAATTATGTCTAATGAACATTATGTCAAACTTAAATTATGCGAATTAAACATTATGTCAAGTGCTTATTATAAAAAGTTAACATTATGTTAATCAGTAATTATGACAAATAACAGTTATGACTAATAAGAATTATGACAAATGAGCATTATGAGAATTGTAAATTATGACAAATTAACATTATATCAAATAACAAATTATGTTAAATTGAATTTATGCCAATTAAGAATTATTATAAATGAAAATTATATTAAACAATCGATGTGACGAATAAACATTATATCAAATATATTTTATACTAAATGATAATTATGCCAAATAAAAATTATGACAAATGAAAGTTATGACTAATCAGAATTATGACAAATGAGCATTTTGTGAAATGCAAATTATGACAAATGAACATTATGTCAAATACACATTATACTAAATAAGCGTTATGTCAATTGCTGATTATTAATAATAAACATTATATCAAACAGTGATTATTACAAATGACAGTTATGATTATTAAGAATTATGAAAAATGAACATTATGTCCAATAGTCATTATGTTAAATTAGCGTTATACCAGTTAAGAATTATTACCAATAAATATTATGTCAAAAAGTAGTTATGACGAATGAACATTATATCAAATACATTTTATGATGAATGATAATTATGCCAAATTAAAATTATGATCAATGAAAATTATGTCAAATAAAGATTATGACAAATGTATATTATGCCAAATAAAAATTTTGACAATTGAAAGTTATACCGAATATAACTTATACTAAATAAACATTCTGTCAAATGCGAATTATGCTGAATAATTAGTATGTCAATTAAAATTTATGCTAAAGTAAAATTATGACCAAAAAAATTATGACAAATATTGGTTATGTCAACTGGTTTTATGTCAAATGAATATTATGACATTTGAGATTTGGGGAAAATTACGGCACCACGCTCCGCAGACTAACACGCTAACCATTACGCCAACTTAACATGGGAAAATAAATACAAAATTGATTTGATAAGTTGCAACTGAGGAAAATGAAGACTTAAGGAGCAGAACAATAAAGAAACAATAATTATATATAAATTATAATTTATTTTTAATGCTAAATAATTTATTTAACATATATATATAGGGTAGGTGTACCAATTGTCAATGATTTTAGACATCATGTGATTTTTTATATTTTTTTTCGCAGGAGTTAATGTACTAAAAAATATGAATTTTGTGCAGTTGGACGAAGAATTTAATAATGTTTAATATTCTTGTTTATTTTTCTAAAATAAATTATAGTAGATAAAAATTATTTTTAAATGTAAATTGAGCTAAATCAATATTTGGCGATGGTCGTGTACCAATTTCTCGATGTTCGGTTCCAATTCTCGATGGTATTGAATTTTTTTAACATATAACCTGACAATTAATGAATTAACCTTTACTAGTATTTACAAAATCGAATAAATATTTATTTTTAAAATAAAAATATTATAAAACATTGACATGAAACAATTTTACTTATTTAACTGTAAGTTTATATTTTAGACAGAAAATAACTAACCTATAAAAGTTTTGCATCACTGACATTTAATAAACAAAAACTTAACCAATTTTATTTTGCATTTTTTTTCGTTCGAAGCATCGATAAATGGTACATCAGCTAAAAAACTGACTGCACTAATTTTCGAGTCAATACCTCGAAAAACGGAGCGGAGATAAAATATGGAACCAGATACCTTCTACAATGCTATAGTAATAATTTAATACGAAAAAAGTAATTAGAAATACATTTAATTTGTATTTTTAAAATTCAACTCCCATCAACTTGAAGTATTAAGAAAGTGGCGAATCGAGTAAATTTGACAGCAGTGAATTATAATTATAAAAGAATAATTATTATAGTTCCATAGATATGAAATTTAATGGGGTATATATGTAATTGGAAATATAAGGTTAATTTACAAATTATTTTGGTTTTTAAATTTTCTACAATATACTATTTATCGGAAAAAGAAAATTACGACCATCGACAATTGGTGCACCATCGGTAACTGGTATACTTACCCTTTATATGTACTAAATAAATAAATATAAGTCAATATTTTCTTTTTTTTTATTTTTACCATTTGGTAAAAAAAAACTTTTTTTGATTAAAATAAGATTATTTTTTCATTTTTAAATTAATTTTTCTAAATTGAAATTAATAATTCTTAATCATTTAATCAATTAAATTTAAATTAAAACTCTAACATAAATAACAATAATTAAATAAATATATTTTTATTGATTTATTTATTTAATTTGTTGTTATAAATATATGTTATCTTAAATAAAATTTTATTTATGCTTTACTTGTTTTACTTGTCAATATTAACCCAATAAAATAACGACTTCAAATCAATTAAACTTATTATTTATAATAAAATGCTTACATAATATAATAATAGCCAGAAGCATATATGCACGTCAAAGATTATCAAAGACTTAATTCGTCTGCTAGCTAGTTATTGTAGCGAATTTAGTGACAACTGCTTGACGGACTTATATTAATTTTTCATGACGGTATCCTAGGCCGTATCTTGGTAAATTCTAGACAGCCTACTGTACGAACTTGTACAAAATTTTCAAGTAAGCATTCTAGACAATGACTAGCTAAATTCTAGAAAGGCCTCATATCTAAAGAAATAAAGGAAAAACTATATAAAAACTGCACATGAACTTTGAGGGGCCATTGCAGTTATTTGAGAATAAATTTCCACGACAAACACTGTCTAGCTATAGGCTAACACTAGGACAGCCACGATAAATTTCTACATGAAAAAGATAAAAGACATACTGATAGTGACTAATGCATTCACCAAGTTTATTAGAATGTACCCGACCAGAACGACAAAAACGGCAGAAGCGATCGCACACTTAAAAACTTATTTTAATTTGTATGGGAGGATGGGGTAAGGATAGTTAGGTAAGACATTTTTGGATCTAGCAGCTAAAATTCAACTGGCATCGGAAAAAGAATAGTACCGTTCGAAGGCCTGTTTATTTAGCTACAATTTTGTAAAACATTATTTTGCTGTGGATTTGCCCTTTTTGAACAAGCCTTGTAGGCAATAGAGCCACTAACTATCCTTGCCCCATCCTCCCCTACAGTAAGCTGCAGACGTTAATTTCCGATCGCTGATCTTGCTTCACATGAAGCGAATTTGCGGATTTTGTGCAACTGCGTCGCCACAAGCGAATGGGCAAATTGAACGCGTAAATAAATAAATAAATAAATAATAAACGATATAGAATATGTAGTAAACAATTCCGTGCACAAGTCTAACAGGAAGACACCGAGCTGAATGTTGTTTGGTATCGATCAGATCGGTAAAGTCAATGACAAAATAAAAATGTTTTTGGATAGTCAAATTGATAGAAATCTAGAACATATCCGAACGTTGGCTGAAAAGAAAATCGAGAAGAGCCAGAGCTATAATGAAAAATACATAAATAAACATTGAAAAGAAGAGTATGTGTATAAGGTAGGCGATTATGTAATGATAAGGAATTTTGATTCAACTCCGGGAATCTCGCCGGAATTACGTCCGGTATTTAAAGGCCCATATGTGAATTATTCAAAATTCTCTGGCACAATCGTTACGTGATTGCTGATGTCAAAGGTCACCAAATAACGAAAAAATGGTACAGGGTGTCTGGGAAGTGGGAGCTGAAAAATATGAAATTTTGGAAGCCAAATTGAATGATATTAAAATTTAAGATATAGGAAATTCTCTTGTACGACGAAACCTGTTCGAGGACGAACATTTAGTTAGGAAAGGCCGAATCTGTAAGGTCTTTGTGTGTGATTGCGAGGAGCGGGGAGAGTAAGGAAATGATATAACTTCGCGGAAAGCGGACCAGGGCAGTACTCGTTCGCCGTTTTCAACAATATTTGATACGGTCAAATATATTTTATGTTTATATATGTACATTTTAAGTCATGTAGAGTGGCAAATAAATGTGATCAATTGGATTTTTAAATTGATTCTGTTCATTATTTATTCTTACATTTGATATATTTTTTCATATTATTGAGTTTGAAATGTAATTTCGAATGTTTTTTAACTATAAGATTATAGGACAAGAAAATACTTATTTAGGACTTTGAAAATTTACTTAAAACTGTGTCAAATAGTTTAAACTTTCAGTGCTCAATTTAACTTCTAACTTAATTTTTTAATTAAAAAAATTTGTTTTATTGAATATAGTTTCAGACGACAATTCATCAGTCCAGTCGAGCCCATGGCAAAGAGATCATTGTTGGAAGCAAAGTCATCCGAGACGCAGTGTATCTACTGAATTTAACTTTTACTTTCGCAGACATCCTAGAATACGTCTTTGTATGCATCCACGTTTGATATCCAAAAAACGAAGGCAACCTTTTGAAAATGGAACTTTACAATTAGGTCTGGAAACAGTTTTTGGGTCCTCAAAACGAACATCGTCTAAAACAAACGGTGTAGCGACTGGCAGAACTCTAAGCTTAATTATTGAGAAGCTTTTGCGACTTTTAGATCCAAACGTTATTTCACCTCGAAAGCGAATTCTACGCGAATTGGAAAGAGTAACTCTTGAAGATCAAGCATCAAAACGTCGTGCAACACCGCAACCACCAAATAAGACATCTAATGTATCAACACCATCAATACAGTCGCCGAAACAATTATCTTCATACAGTATAACAAGTATTTTAGGTGAGGACAAACCAAGCACAGAACCAGGTTTTTTAAGAACTTTACTGAAACCGGAAAACCAACAATCAATACTAACAAAGTATTCGTCTAATCAACCTCACCCGTCGGCTAGAGTTGACCCGTTCATCGCGTCAGCAAACTCCTCTATGCATCACCCTCTTTATGGAATACCTTTGCTGCCTCCTGGAACTTACAGAGCTCCACTGTGGGTACACTATTCACCTCCCGTCCAATATCCACCTTCGATGTCACTCTACGCACCGCCATCCCATCCGTCGTCGCCACCAGCGTTGGTTCACCACTACAAAGACTACAGGGAACAAACTCTCACACCTCCTTCAGGTATTAAATTATTTTTTATGTAATTTTTTATTTAGAAATATTTATTAAAAATTTACCATAAAATATCTTAGGGTAAACCAGATAGTAGTCGGACACTTAAGAAAATCTTTTTAATCAACACTTTTTAAAAAGTGTAAATAACCTTTTTAAATTTCTTCCATATGTGATTGTTCCTTACGATCATAAGGAACTATTAAACCGATAATAATTACAAGAAAAGAATTTCTTATTCGTTAAAAAAATTTGCAGTAAATACGTAACAAAATGACAGTAATCAGCCACCTTCTAAATTCCTTAAAACAATAGAAATAAAATAAAATTTATTTTCATTGTTTACATAAACAATTTATTGTTATAAAAAAAGTATCATATACAATCGACACTCGATAAATTGAATCTCAAGGGGATTCAAAAAAATTTCAAATTATCGAGAGAAAGGCAAGAAAAATTAAAATTAACAAGAGAAAATTAACCTAAAGAAAATATATATTAAGTGTTAATAAGTACAGTAGAAATTTTAGTAAATATTTTTCAATTTTTGTATTTTAACACTTTTTTCCTATATTGAAATATATTTTTCATAACGCAATCATAAAAATGGCGTTATGTATACCTCCGTAAGCAAACGAAAAATCGTCCTTTATTGTACTATCTAGATAGTACCTCGTACCATCTATTTCTCTCCGTGAAGTTACGAAAATACACTGAATGACAGATGAGTTCAAAAAAGAGCTTTGTTTGTGCTTGTTCCTGTATTGTCGTAACGCACGAGTAATTGCAATTTCGTCCAGTAGAGGCGAGTCAATGTAGTAGAATTCTTTCGTAGTCTTACCATCTCCTGCGTCTGTAACGCACCGTCGCCTAACCTAACCTCATCTTCTTTTGTAAATTTGACAACTTCGCCTCCTGATCCCCTCGACCAGGGCGCTGCCCCTGGACCTTGTTAGGGGGAGACCCTCCGATCCCCCCGAGCGACCAAACTCTTATGCACACTGGATAGTGGTTCTGCTATCCATCTCGTATGTAATTTTTTTAAAAGTTTTTATAATTAATATGCATCTTACACGGAGAGAAAAATCTGCCTTTTATAGTATAGAAAGGTTTACATTTAATGCACAGAAATTTTCTATGCTATATAGACATGAAATTTGAGTAATTATAGTACAATCGTATGTCTTTTTAGCATGAAACTTGTCTATGCTAATAAAGTTTGTCATATAGCCTCTTATTACATACTTATTATACTTTTAATCCAACGGCGCCATGCGAAGATCGCACATAACATCATCCTACTATGTTTGCATAAGTTCTATGCTTTTTCGGGGATAGACTCTTGCAACTGGCGATTAGGCCACGCCCACCTTTACTTAATTGGAACTGGCCTAATCGCCAGTTGCAAGAGTCTATCCCCGAAAAAGCATAGAACTTATGCAAACATAGTAGGATGATGTTATGTGCGATCTTCGCATGGCGCCGTTGGATTAAAAGTATAATAAGTATGTAATAAGAGGCTATATGACAAACTTTATTAGCATAGACAAGTTTCATGCTAAAAATTCTCAAATCTTTGCTCTATTAGTATGAAAAGTTTAAAGAAAAATAGCAGCAATCTATTTCATACTATAAAAGGCAGATTTTTCTCTCCGTGTAGTATCAACGCCTTTTTAAGATTTTGTTATGAAAAGTATTGTGCGCAACACGTGTGGCGGCTTTTTGAAACTCGCGCTACATTTTCGTAACTTGTCTGCGGTTACGAAAACAAAGCGCTAGTTCCAAAAAAGCCGCTAATTCACACTTGTTACGCAATGTACTATACATGGAGAATAGACTACAGAAGACCAATGTAGTGTATAAGAAAACGGCAAATTTTCGTCGGAAGCTGTTAGTTTCAAAACTTATCACGCACCGCGTTGAAAACAGATAGAAACCATAAGTTCTCAAATTCACATGTGCTTCTTGGGTAACAGCATACATCGTGATATATGGTTTTCCGGCAGAAGCCCATTTTTTCTGTGAAATATATATTATTATAATGAAATATATTTTATTATTTAAAATTTAGTATACACTACCGTCCGAAATTGTGCGAACTCTGCTTTTTCAACAACTATAAAACTGTTCAAATCTTCAAAAATATTAAAACTAAAATTTTTTCCTCTTTATTTTATTAAAGCTAATAAAATTCTGAAAGAAATGACACCTTGACAAAGAGAATATGTTAATTTTTCAATTAGATATCTAAGGAAAACCCAATTTTCAATGTTTTTACTATTTTTTTTATTTCTCTGGAAAAAATTAATATTTTTAAACGTTCTTAGGCTCATTGAAATCGTATTTTGTTATGCAATTCAAATTATATAAAACAATTCATGTACACATTCTTCCCTAGCGTATGCAAACCGTGAAAGTTGGCTCATAAAATGTCAAAAAATTGTGATTAATATTTATATGACAAAAAATGATCAGTAAAATGTATAAATCTTAAATTTACTTACATAAATCAGAGAAGTTTAGAATGATATATATACTTGATTTTTAAACATTATATTTTATTGTAGAATTAAATTTAAATTTTTTGACATTTTATGAGCCAAATTTCACGGTTTGCAAACGCTAGGGAAGAATGTGTACATGAATTGTTTTATATAATTTGAATTGCATAACAAAATACGATTTCAATGAGCCTAAGAACGTTTAAAAATATTAATTTTTGCCAGAGAAATAAAAAAAATAGTAAAAACATTGAAAATTGGGTTTTTCTTATATATCTAATTGAAAAATTAACATATTCTCTTTGTCAAGGTGTCATTTCTTTCAGAATTTTATTAGCTTTAATAAAATAAAGAGGAAAAAATTTTAGTTTTAATATTTTTGAAGATTTGAACAGTTTTATAGTTGTTGAAAAAGCAGAGTTCGCACAATTTCGGACGGTAGTGTAAGTTACCGTTATTATTTAAATTATGCTTAAAATTTTTGCGAGTTTATAAGGTTCGTTAATTTTTGAAATATTATTTAATATTGTATTTATTATATTATTTAATTAAAGTTGTGTCAAAAATCTTTTGTTTTAAACTAAATTTATTATGAGAAAACTTTTTAACTATAGATGTATTTAAAATTATATTCAAACTTTACACTTCAAAATAAAAATTAATTTTATTAATACAAATAAATTTTTTTATTTTGTAAATATTTTGGTATATATTTTGGGAAATGATAAATACCTGTTATATGAGCCGCTGGATGCTAGAAGGTCATGTAAATGTTTTCCGCCTGGTAAACGAAATTCTCTGGACACTCAAAAATCATTATTCGAATTTTAAAATTTTTCGAGCATATTCTTATACAGAATTCGATTGCGCATCTTTTTTTCTTCATAAAAAACTTTCCAACTTTTTCCGGTTTCGAAATATAAGGACAATTAATAACAAAATGGTGAATGTTTAAACTTTAAAGTTGCGCGAGCAGCTAAAAGTTTGGAATGTGTTTGCTACCATAATAAGCTCGTTTGTATTATTACGTAGCAAACGCATGCCAAACGTTCAGCCGCTCGCGCAACTTCAAAGTTTAAACATTCACCATTTTGTTATTAATTGTCCAATTGCATTGTAACTTTCCAGAAAACTTCTTTGCACCTTAATGAACAACTTTCTCACTGAAAGTTTGTTGCTGCTGAAAATTTGTCAAACTTCTCCGCATTGAGAAAATTGCACTTCACGAATTTCGCAATGTCTTAGTAAGCAATTAATAACTTTTTTTTTAATCAAAACAACTTTTTTCTTTTTTAGTCACTCGTAGGATATAATAACACGTGTTTTCGTTTTTGTTTCATTGAAAAACTCGTAAATTGACTGAGCTAGCGCGAGTTGAAGTCAAAAAAACAATTAAATTTTATGTTTACAAAAAACCAGTTTTTCTCTCATATTTCGAAACCGGAAAAAGATGGAAAGTTTTTTATGAAAAAAAAGATGCGCAATCGAATTCTGTATAAGAATATACTTGAAAAATATTAAAATTCGAAAAATGAATTTTGAGTGTCCAGGGGGACTTAGTTTTCCGGCCGAAAAAATGTACGTGCCCTTCTAGAATCCAGCGGCTGATATTTATATGTATTAACATATCATAACCTTTTCTTAAAAATAAGCTTGCTAAATTCTCACATGCACTTCACGTAAGTCAAATATCAATTACTTTAAAGTTGAATAAAATATGTAAATTTGTCCAAAGTTAAAAAGAATTACAAAGTTATAAAAAAATCAACATTTTTCAATCATATAAAAAAATTTACTTGTTTCAATTGATTGAAAAGAAGTTAATAATGATAATGATAATGAATAATAATGATTTCTCAATAGATACATCTTTTCACTATTTCATATAGTTATAAAATAACTACAAATAAATAATTATTATTAACTTATTTGCAAAAAAATAATTGTCTTTACTTACCAATCTTAGTCTTTTTTTATTATTTAGAATGAAAATATACCTAAATTCAGGTTATGTTTTTCAAAACAATATGACAGCTAACAGATGTTTCTTGACATGCGTACGTTGATGGTATCTATCTGTTTTTTTCGCCACCTATGGGCAAGCTGAGTACTTGTCTTAGCTTACGACGAATCTATTCTCCATGGTATACTATACTAAAATTTTTACTATACTTATTGAAATTTAATATATTAATATTTGTAATGATTATTTATCTTGATTGAAAAATATAAATTTAGAAATGAATTTAAAAATAATAACAAAATTTCACTCGATAGCAAAATTGATATTTAGGATATCTTATAAAATCAGAAAAGATAGAACGAAATAAAATCACATTAAATAGGCGAATGTAAAAATACAAAGACCGACGACAGAAACACAATAATCAAATAATGTAGAAATATAAATAAAAATTCACAAAATTGAAACATTAAGAAAATTAATTAATATATTTACTAACTTATATTTCATGTATAAAAATCAAATCCAGTAGTCTCGAGACGCGT